GGCTCGGGTGATCTGACAGGTCTGTGAGTTGAAAAGACCCCTGTGGTTGCCAGGTGGAGGATAAATTTGAGCAGCCAGGGGCTGGAGGTGGGAGAGCAGCTTGGGGGCTGCTGGGGAGGTGGGCCTGAGGGGAACCATGGCGGCTTGAGCCAGGATGGTGAACATGGAGGTGGAGGGAGAAGAGAGAGTCTACAGGAGGGGAAATGATAATACAACCAACAGTAGTAATAATAATAGCCAACATTTATTGAGCACTTACTGTATGCCAGACCCTGTGGCTCGGGGCTATCCAAGCATTATTATCTCAGTTATCTTCACACCAACCCTGTGAGGTCGGTTCTATCATTATTTCCATTTAGCGGTGAAGGGGCTGCAGGGCTCTGACCAGGAGGCGCTTGGTTTATGATTGTCACTACTGGGATGGGGTCGGGGGGAGCTGGAGGAACCGTTCAAACACCTGAGGACTCCCGCACAAGGATCATGGGAAGCAGGGGCACACTGTGGTGGAGGGCCCTTGGGGAGGCTGGGAGGGGAGCACACCCAGCCCCTTCTCCACTGCTCATGGGTGTCCTTCATATGGTACCATGACTCCAAGTGGGGCCCTGGCCTGGGGGAGTGGGCTCTGAGGTAAGGGGGTGCACTGCCTAGAATCCCCTGATAACAGCTCTGTCCCCCAGCCCTCCGCATGCCAAGCCACGACTCCAAGAGCCCTGTGTCAGCTGGGACCCAAGGGAGGAAGAGAAGGCTCTGGCTGGGGGTTTCATTCCTGCCACCAGGTAAATTCCCTTCCCAGGGAGCTGATGGGGAACCAGTTTTTATCAAGTTCCAAAGACGCAGTGACGGGACAGAGAGACAGACACAGGACAAGGGTCAGAGGAGAGGCAGGCAGCTGGGTGGATGGAGGTGGGGCTTCCCCAGCTTGGGGGCCATTGGCACTATTTTGGCATTTGGAAGGTCAGGGGACTCAGGAACAGATGTTAACACACACACACACACACACACACACAGAGGACACTCTGGCCTGCAGCACAAGGACCACCACTGGCCCTGATGGGACACAACAATGTCCCTGATGATGACATGCAAATCGGAGACTAAAGCTGAGAGCCTCAGACCTGAGCTGGCCCCCAAGGAAGACAGGAGGGCAGGTTTCAAACCAGGCAGCCCCAACACTCCCCTGCCTGCTCTCACACCTCTATGACCCCCTGCCCTCTGCCTGGTTATTCCTCCCTGCCCCTCAAAGCTTGCCCCAGCATCACCTCCTCTGGGGCAGTTCTTATTCTCGTGGCCCCAGGAAGTCCCTTCATAGCCTTTCCAAACTGTACCATCATCATCATTGTCCTGTGTGTGTCAGGGGCACCACCTCCCACCCCAGAACACACGTGGAGCTCATCCCGTCCCAGCTCGTCCCCCCGACCCCTCATCTCCTCAGGCTGGTGCCCAGAGCACAGGAGAGGGGACCAGGGGAGCAGCTGCCCCAGCCAGCACTGTTGCCCCTCGGGAACTCAGATGGGCCCTCCCACCCCGACTACGCAGCCCCTATCTCCAGGGCCAGCACCAAGGCCCAGGGTAGGTGGCAGCTCCTCAGGGAAAGGTGACCTCACCACCCATCCCACACACTGACAGTGGCCTGGGCAGAACAGCATCTCTATTGAGGATAGGAAATGCCCTCAATGAGGCCACTCCAGAGTCCCGGAGACTGAGGCAGTGGGCAGGAGGCAGCTCTGGAATCTCATCTTCCTCAAGCACACACACACGCGGGATGCACAGGACCTTTCTCTCACATATACACAGCACACTGACACACACGTGGGGTCTCACACACACGCCACACACCCTGTCACACACATGATCTCACAGTCTCTGTCTTATACACGCCCTCACATACACAGTGTGTCACACACAGGGACCCCCACCCCACACAGCCTCCTGCCTTATGTGTACACACGTACACACACACACACAGCCTCACACACGAGCTCCACATATGCAGTTTCACACTTGCCACACACAGCCACACACTCATGCAGACACGCTCACCTCGACTCTCATGCACTCCTCAAACCTCACACACAGCATCTCTCTTACACATGCAGGCTCTCTTCCTTATACACACTCTCTCCCACACAGTCTCATTCTCACACACGCACAGTCCATCCAAAACACAGAATCCACCTCTCTCACACACACAACCCCTGACACAAGGACTCAGGAAGCTCACACTGAGTCACAGTCTCACCACACACACACACACATACACACACACCCTGAGTCTCACATTTTTATTCTCACACACACAAGTCTCTCACACACAATCTCTTTTACACAGAGCCTGTCTCACACATACAGCCTTTCCTTCATACACATATGCAATATCACACACAACGTGCTGGTCTAAATCTAGAATAACGACTTGAGTCCCGACCCGCCTGTGTGAGGAGGCGCGGGGGAGGGGTAAACAAAGGTGACAGCAGAGGCGGCAGAGCAAAGACGGAGAGGGAGGAGGGCGGGCAGGCGGCTGGTCTCTGCGCAGATGAGCCGCAGAGAGGCAGCGCAATGCAGCTAGGCCAGCCGGGCGGCAGGCAGGAAGCCGGGGTTCTAATCCCACTTTGCCCTCCTCAGCTCCTGAGTGCCCTTGGGCAGGTCCCTCTCCCTACGGGCCTCAGCGTCCTCAACTGTTCCCCGAGGGAGCTGGAAGGGACCACAACCTTCCTCGGAGGCCACTGGGGAGAGAAGGTGGCTCAGACAGGCTGAAGGGGAGCACCCACCAGCACCCACTCCTATCCCAGTACCGCCTCGCCCCGACCACCGGGCGCCCACTCTTTTCCCTCAGAGTCCGCTCTTCAATGAGTATTCACTTCATAGATTTTTTTCAAGACTTTTCTGCATGGTTTTGCACACCAATAGAACCTCAAACCACACTAGCTGGCCCATTTGTCTGCCTTGGGTGAAGGCCACCCGCAGCCTAGAAATGTCCAGTGAGAGAAGAGGGCCAAGGGAGGGGATTGGAACATGCCCCACTGCCCCCTGCCTGCCCTGAAACTCGGGACACTGATCAGAGCCCCAACACTGAGTGCAAGGGGTGGGGCTGGGAGACCCAGCTCTTGCTTGGGAGTCAGGAGACTGGGCCTAACCCTTGCTTCTGGGGCCAAAGTTGGTGGGGGAGCTGCTGTCCAAGGTCAAGTGTGGGCTGAATGGGCAGCTGCTGTGACCCAGGCCTCTGCCCACCCCCACCCCAACATGCACTGGTTCAACCTCCCATCCCCCTCCTCCAGCCCCTCCCCACAGCTCAGCCACAGCCTCCAGTTACATAACCCTCTAGCTGTGGTGGCCTCTGACAGGAAAGGGAAGGGGAGGGAAGCCCTCTGAGGGTCCCAGTCCACTCTGGGGAAAGGCAGGAGCTGGTAGCCAGCCCAGGGGAGGATAGGGTCCCAGGAGAATTGAGTTCTAGTCCTTCTTGGCCTCTTGCTCCCTGGGTGACCTTGGTCAGGGTCCTCAGTGGCTAAACATGGGCCGGGCTCTCTCCCTATTGCTTCCCCTTATAAACATAGTCGTTCTAGAACTCAGGGTATCAGACTGACCCACTATCCACCCCCCACATGCCATACTGTGTTTGATCTCAGTTAACAGATCTACCAGGTCTGTGCCTAAACATAGATTTTCTCTGCCCATGGGCACTTGAGGGCCCCCCAAGTCTCCTCCTTCCACTCTCCTCTGCAGCTTCCTAGCCCTCTCCCCTGGCTCTGGCTTAGGCTCCAGTGGGCAGGAGGGGAGAGATACGAAGTAAAAGACAGCAGGGCAGAGGCAGTGCTTTGCCTGGTAGGGGGTGAGGGCAGCTCACGGATGCAGGAGGGGCTCTCCTTTAACTTCTCCACTCTACCCTTCCCCTACAGGCCTTAGAGTCTCTCTTTAGGCCTCTAAGGACAGAGCCCAGTGAAGGCTGGGAGTGCCTCTTCCAGGGTGGGTGGCTGCTACCAGTTCCTCCTTTTGGGCTCAGTCACTTATGGTCTAGCAGCAAGGCCCTTGAGAGTTCACCAGGCCCCCTCCCCCATTTTACAGATGAGAAAACTGATCCAGAGAGGCCATCTGAGGGACCAAGGTCAGTAGCAGCGTGTCTTTTTTTCCTGGAAATAAGCGGGTATGGCTAAAGGGGAGTGGCCCATGAGGACACACCCACCTCTCACACACCTTCTCCTTATAGGTTCCCCCTTAAGGACTCCCTCTCCCCACCACCGGATGCCCCAGAGGAAGCACTGGCATAAGCCCAGTGACCCACTCCAACACCCTCCCCTTTCGACAAGGAGGAAGGACAGGCTGTGATCTCAGGATCAGGGGCTCAGAGGGACCACCCCTACCCTACAGCCCAGCCCTCCACCAACTTCCAAGCCATGGAGATTAGCCATGAGATGCCCTCTTGACCACCTCCTCAAAATTGCCGGAAGCTGCTCCCTCAGGAGGGGGCGGCTGTCTCAAGCTGCCCAGCAGGCCTCAGGCCTTTTTGGGGGACCATGGCTGGCTCCAGATGCCCCTTTACCTGGACAGGAGGAAGGGCTCCCAGCTTCCCTCCCCACACTAAAATCTCGAGGGCAGTTCATGCTTTGACAGTGCACCTCTGCAAAGAAACAAATGTGCACGGGCAATCGCTCATGCACACTCAAACATACACACATGCTCACTCATTCCCACTCCACACTTTACCCACCCAAATACACTCCACCACACTTACATAAATATGCACACACAATCTACTCATACACACAAACACACCCATTCATACTCATACATATTAAACTTGGCAACACACAGACTGACATACATAGAAAACCAGAACCCCAGCAGACACCCTTTCTCTCTTACCCTGGTATGTGCACACATGCGCACACACCCCCTTTCGATTCTGAACTCCCTAGGCGCCAGTTCTGCGGTCCACCCCTGCCCGCGGGGAGGCACAAGACGCTGCCTTCCCGCCCCGCTCTTCTGATGGGTAAGTTGTCACTTACCCGCGCGTAGCGGGACGAGTAAGGGTCCTCGAAGAGCGCCCAGATGCGCGGCTGCCAGCGGCGCCAAAAGCCGCCAGGCCGGCCATCGGGGGAGTCACTGAGCGCCAGGCGCTTGGTCATCTCCAGCTCGTCCTCGCCGTCGCCCGAGTCTCCGGGGCCCTCGGCGTCCGCGTCGTCGGCGCTGTTGTCAAGGGGCGCGCCGCCGAAGCTGTCCAGCGCCTCCTCGGCGTCGCGGTGCTGGCGGTACGTCATCCAGCAGCAGGGCTCCACGTCGGTCTCGTCGATGCCCCAGAAGGCCAGCTCCTCCTCGTAGAGCGGCCCGCACACGTCGGCCGGGCAGTGCAGCTTGCCCGTGCGGTAGTAGTTCAGGATGTGCGCGAAGACGCCGGGGTGGCGGTCGAAGAAGAACTCGTCTGCACGCGGGTCATAGTCGAAGTGGCTGTGGGCGTCGGGCTCCGCCAGCCAGGCGAGCCGCGTGCCGGGCAGCGTGCGCAGGGTCGAGCGGTACGTCTGGTGGCGCGTGCCGCCCACGTTGATCACGATGCGCTCGCTCTCGTCCCCTTGGCCCATCGCGGCGCCCCCTTAGGCATGGCGCGGCCCAGCGACACCCATGGGAGCGGCCGCCAGGGGGAGTTGGCGCCGGGGAGGGGGGCGCGCGGCCTCTTCCCCCCTCCCCCCAGCCGTCGAGGGGAACAGAGGTCCGCGGCTCTGGCCACCCCAACGAGCGAGCCAAGCCTCTCTGGGCGCTTTCTGTTGGGTGCCGGTCCAGGGGAGTGTGAGGGATCCCAGGGGTCTCTAGGCGCCAGATGTGGGAGGGAGCTGGTCCGGCAGCGGAGGAGGCAAAGGAGGAAAGAAGGGAGGGAGAAAGGGAGGGAGAGAGGGAGGGAGAAAGAGGGAGGGGGGCGGGCTCAGCGGTGAGCCCCCGGAGGAGGGGAAAGAGGGTTGGGGGGCCGGTCTCCCGTTCCCATCTCCGCGGGAAAATGGAGAAATAGGCACAAAGCTTTTGGGGGGAAGGTCAGCCGCTCCCAGGGCCGGACTAGAGGCCAGCCCCCGGGAGGGGGAGGGGAGGAGACCGGGCCGGGAAATTCGCGCTCCTCTGTGCGGTGGTCGCCGCGGCGCGCTCTCGGCGCGGGGGAGATGGATGCCGCCTGCCTTCCTCCCTGCGTGGCCGGGCTGCAGCTCGGGACGCAGGGCGGGCTCCGGCCCCCTCCCTCTCTCCTTGCTTGGCTGCCTGCTCCCCCCGGCGGCGGGCCCGCCTGCCCGCCCGCCCTCCTCGTTCTTTCTCCCCGCCTCCTGGAGATGGCGGGCCCCCTGGGCAGGGGCACCCGGGGTGTTTCTCGTGCGGCTAACGCCGAGCGCTGCTCTCGGTGCGCCCGGGCTCCAGCTGGGGCTCCGCTGGGCTGCGCTGGGACTCGGGCTCCCGCGGCGGTGCTGAAGGGACAGCTCCCGGCGGTCACGGAGCTGCGCGGGGCCAGGCGGGGGTTCTCCCGGCTAGGTTTGGTTTGCAGGGCCGGCGGGCACTGGCTCCGGTGCCTCTGCGCCCCGCACTCCGCTCCTCGCTTCGGGCAGGCGGTGGGCGCTGCCGGCCGAGACGGGGGGCTGCGGAGGTCGGGCGGGGAGGCGGGGGTGGCGGGTCCGGGCGCGGCGAGGTGAGGCCGGCGAGGCCGGTAAGGCGAGGCGCGGAGCGGCCGCCGCCGCCGCCGCGACGCTGCTGCCGCCGGGGCTGCTGCTCCGCTAGCTGCTTGCCCGTCGCCTGCTCGCTCGCGCGGTCCGCGTCCAGCCCGCCGCTCTCCGGACACGGGCACACGGCGCGCGCAGCCGCACTCGCCCCCGGAGGAAGGCGCCGCGCTGGGTCCTAAAAAGCCCTGATTCCGCGCCCCCCTCCCAGCCCCGCACCGAGCCCGGCCTCCCTCAACCTCGGCGCTGGGGGCGCCCGCCCCGCGAGGCTCCTGCTGCTCCCGGGGGACCCGCCCACGCCCCGCCCTCGGGGAACGCCACTCCAGCGGCTGGGGCTCCGAGAGACGTCTGGGCCCGCGCCCCCGGGTCAGACTGAGGTGAGAAGGGCGTTGGCACCCTCCCCTCGCCTTCCAAACCAGGGACCATCTGATCCCTGGTGAGACAAAGCTCTCCGGAGTTTTGTCATCAGAGACACCCTGGCCCGGACCAGTGCTGACCGCTCCAAGGAATCCTCTAATACCGACCCTTCCCGCGGAACCTGGAGGCTCCATGTTCCTTCCATGGGTAATATCTTGCATGGACCCCAAGACACACACACACACACACACACACACACACACCACGTTATCCTCTACGCCCTCCACTAACAATCAGTCCTGGACCCCTATTAACCCCTTTGGACTCCTTACTGACCCTGGGCCCTTTCCAGCTTCAGACAGAGGGAGTCTCCCATGAATGCCACATCCATCCAAGCTCGCTGACTCTCCCACACTAACCCTGGATCCCTAGGTGGAGACCCCTTATGAAAAGGGCCTTCTGCCCTCAGAGGTCAGAAGCAGCAACTGCTGGTAGTTTCCCTGAGCACTGACACCCCCACCCTGCACTTCCTAGGGCTTCAGCTGCCCTTGGTGATTATGTCTGGGGGCTGGGAGGGAGGAGCTGGTGTTATGTCTGGGGGCTGGGTGGGAGCAGCTGCTTGCTGTGATTCCTCCAGCTTCACAGTTGGTCCTGGGGGTGGGAGTTTCAGTTTGAACCTCAAAGCCTTCCTGGCCCATGCCTGCTGCTAGTGCCTCGGTTTACTCAGTAGAGCAATCACTCCTTTACTCCTTACTTGTTTCATGATCCATCCCAGGCACAAGGACACAAGAGATGTATCAGACCCAGCCTCTGGCCTCGAGAAGCTCCCAACCTTCTGGGGAGGTGGCCAGGCGGGCCTAGGCATGACTGGGGAGGTCAGGCCTGGCTCCAGGGGTGGCTGGGCTGGGAAAGAGGCTTATTGATCCCAGCTCAAACCAATCGAACACAGGATGGCTGGGCAAAGGGCGATTTAATTAAGAAGATACAAGGCTCTGATTACCTGCTGGCACTTTCTAACTGTGCAGACAGCTGTCCCTCTACCCTGATCCACAGATGCTGTCGTGAGCCTGGGGACAAAGCTGTGCCACAGACATCGCTCTCCTTACTTGGTCAGGGGAATCCCAATCTAGCCACAGGAAAATCTGTGTGTGGTGGGTGAAAGACTTGGAGGAGTGGAGAGGGGCAGGGCAAGGACTGACAGATGGTAATAGGACAAGGGGAGAGACAGAGAGGCAAATTAAGTCAGAAACACAGGCAGAGTTGGGTGGAGACAAAGAGAGGGTTGGAGTTTGGGGCCTGCATGGCACCTCCTCCTTCCAGATATTGATCTGTGTGATTCCTCTAAATAGGGGCTGTTTCCCCTTCAATCTCAGAGTAATGCAGGGATGAGTGTTTTTGATTGTCCCTTTCACCCTGACCAGTGTGAGTTCCCATCTCCTAACCACAAGGAAGCCTGGCCTGGTGTGGACCAGCCTGGCGCATATTCAGATTCCCAAGATATGGGTTCTCAGAAAATTCTGTCCCAACATTGGTAGACGATGAAATAGACATGGAGAATCCAGAAGGAAGGGAAAAAGGTGGACACAGAGGCAGACACACACACACACACACACACACACACACACACACACAGAGCTGGGAGAAATCAAGATGAGGAGAGACAAGAAAGCAGCCTCTCCAAACCTTCCTTTCTTTCTAGCCAGATGTCCAGCTCCTCTTCTCACCCAAGAAACCTTCTGAGATTCTACCAGCCATAGGGTTCCAGGACTTCACCTCTTTCCTCACCTGCAGAACCACATGGGATCAGACTATGGCTCCTGATCTTCTCCGTAGCTCATCTGATCTCCATAAAAAGACCATCAGCTCCTCCAGGGCTTTTTGTTTGCTTCCCTCCAGAGTGCCCAGAACACAGTAGATCCTCACTTAGTTCCAGATGATTTGAGAAAGGCTAGGAGAGAGGCTGGGATCCTAGAACCCAAGTGGCAGAGACTGTGGGAGTATGGAGCCCCTAATGGAGACCAAGTCAGGAGAAGGGACTTACCCAGGGTCTTCTAGGGAATCGGTGCAGGGCTCCATCACTACCCCATGGCGAATACTAAGGAGGGCTGCAGTGTGACCCAGGCAGTTGAGGAGGGTCACAGAGAGACAGAGAGAAACAAGGGACTCCTGGTAGGTGGACGGTTGGGTGATTAGGGGCTCTGGACGGTGTGTTAGAAAGAGGGAGGTAGGCCAGAGTTGGAGGCAGAAGGAATGTGAAAGGGTATTCATTGCACCCTAAAGCCCATTACACCCTAAAATCCCCCAAGAGATAAGCAGAGAAAACTCAGACACAGGAGCTCCCCGTCAGGAGAGGGTAGCTGTTTCCAAGGTGCCCCACACTGTTCCACTTTAGGATTCCCACTTTGATCCCTGATAACACACCCCCAGCCCAGGCCCCAAAGAATGGCCCCCCTTGTGTATCCTGAACAGGACATCAAACTTTTTTCTCTCACTTCCCCTTCACACTGGGAGAATGCTAGCATTTGCAGACAGCCTAGGAAAACCAAGAAGACAAAACAGAAGAAATCAACAAAAAGCAAAAACCAGAAAACAGAAGTAGAGGGTGTGGGGGGAAGTAAAAGGAGGAATTACTAACCAATCCCTAGCTTCTCACCCACAAATACTAACCACAGACCCCCAGCTAGACTGAAAACCTCACTCCTTTTCCACTCTGGAGCAGTGCCTCCTATTTGCAGCCATTTACCCCTCCCTTGCAGAAGAAAGCTTGTGGTCTGGTGCCAGAGGGTCTTTGGTAGCTGGGGCTGGTGGGGGTGGGAGCAGTGAATTACTGGTGGGGTGGTATGTTCAGTGGCTAAGAGCACAGACTTTAACACCAGACTGCCTGGGTTCAAATCCCAGCTCCACTACTGACTAGCTGTGACCTCGGGCAAGTTACTCAATTTCTCTGTGCCTCCATTTTTTTTACTGTTGTATTGGAGTAATAATAATAACTCCTGTATCCTTAACACCTCAGTTCTAGAATTTCTCTTGTTCAGGCCCAAGAAGGGATTGCTGGGCTCCAGTAAGTTTCATGTAGGAAAGGCTAGAATATGAGCTGGTGTTGGGAGTGGACTGAAAAAAATGGTGAAGGGAGTTCTGAAGCCAAGTTTGGCCTATGTTTTCCCACCTGGCACGTGCAGGCCTTAGATCTGGTCCTGCTAAGCTCTGGAACTGGCCCAAGTCCAGCCCCTAGGCTTTTGTCCAGGTTGGCACATCCTCCATGCTGCTCTCCCAGGCCCAGAGCCTCAGCTCTCCTGGTGGGCTGGGGTGCCATCTTGTGGCCATGGCTGGAAACTAACCTAAGCTGGGTATTGACCCAGAAGGCTTCAAGGGTAGTAGCCCTGCTCTGATGGTAAGCGATGGGGGGGCCGGCATCCCCTCCCCAGACCATACCGCCTCCCTCCAATGGTCAGGGAAGATTGAAACCAGAGATCCCGTAGTGGGAAATCAGTGACCCTGGCTACAGATCTGTAACTTGAACAGTGACCCTGGTAACCTGGGCTGGACTGCAGCGAGGTATACAGCTGTTCCTTCTTGGAAACTTTGGGG